CCACAAGCCCGTTTCGGCCGTGAGGCCCTCTTCCCCTCGGGGGACACCTGCAACCTCCTCCGCACTCACACCCCGAGGGACTGACAGTGTGCCGAGGACACCATGGACGGAGGGGCGGGGTCACCTTAAGGGAGGGTACCCACTGTATGCCTCGGACTGGCCGCGACCGCGGCCTCCTCCAAAGCTGCAGGCAGACAGGTCAGTGGGGAAAGGTCCGGGCAACCCGGCAGCACTAAAGGGGAAGAGTCCTCACCTGGCCAGGCAGCGCTGTTGAGCCTCAGGTTCCGCCCTGGTCTGGAGCCTGTCCCCACCCACCGGACTCTGCCTGAGCACAGGTGCAGTTCAAAGGGCCGCCGCTAGGGGGCGCCGGCGAGGGGGTTCGGGGACCCTCAGCCCCCACTAGGGCCGCTGCTGGTGGCGATGATGAGGGGGTTCGGGGACCCTCAGCTCCCACTAGGGCCGCTGCTGGTGGCGATGGTGAGGGGGTTCCGGGACCCTCTTCCCCCACCGGGCTGGGGCCACCCCTGCACCCATGGGGGTACGGGATTGTCCTCCCCCATGGGGGAACGGGGCCCTCTTCCATTTCGCGGAAGCCCAAATCTTCCTCCCGGTGCACGCCAGCACCCTCCTCTCGCACTCACAACCCAGTTACGGGTTCGTGCGAACGCAGACGCCCTAGAGGGAGGGCCGGGGTCCCTGTCAGGGGAGGGCACCCCCTGTAAGCCAGGGACAAGCGGCGACCGCGGCCTCTTCCAAAACTGCAGGCACACAGGCCGGCGCGGAAACACCCGGGCAAGCCAGAACCACTCAAAGGGGAAGAGTCTTTACCTGGCCCAGCAGCGCTGATGAGCCCCAGGCTCCGCCCCTGGCCGGAGCCTGACCCCGCCCACCTGACTCTGCCTGTGCACAGGTGCACTTCCTAGGGCCGCCGCTAGGGGGCGCTGTTGAGGGGTTCGGGGACCCTCAGCCCCCTCGGGGGTAGGGGGACATCTGCAACCATGGGGGAACGGAACTTTTCTCCCCCATGGGGTAACGGGGCTCAATTCCCCTCGGGGGAAGCCCAAATCTTCCTCCCGGGACACGCCTGCACCCTCCTCTCGCACTCACAGCCCCAGCGGCGGGGCATGCGCCCGCAGACGCCCTAGACGGAGGGCTGGGGTCCCTGTCAGGGAGGGCACCCCCTGTAAGCCAGGGACAAGCGGCGAACTCAGCCTCTTCCAAAACTGCAGGCACACAGGCTGGCGCGGAAAGCCTCCGGCAAGCCAGCACCACTCAAAGGGAAGAATCCTCACCTGGCCCGCAGCGCTGATGAGCCCCAGGCTCCGCCCCTGGCTGGAGCCTGACCCCGCCCACCCAACTCTGGCTGCGCACAGGTGCACTTCCTAGGGCCGCCGCTAGGGGGCGCTGGTGAGGGGGTTCGGGAATCCTCAGCCCCCACCGGGCTGGGGCCACCCCTGCACCCATGGGGGTACGGGATTGTCCTCCCTCATGGGGAACGGGGCTATCTTCCCTTCGGGGGAAGCCCAAATCTTCCTCCAGGCGCATGCCTGCACCATCCTCTGGCACTCACAGCCCCAGTGGCGGGGCAGTGTGCCTGCAGACGCCCTAGACGGAGGGCCGGGGTGCCTGTCAGGGGACGGCACCCCCTGTAAGGCAGGGACAAGCGGCGACCACAGCCTCTTCCAAAACTGCAGGCACAAAGGCCGGCGCGGAAAGCCCCGGGCAAGCCAGCACCACTCAAAGGGGAAGAGTCCGCAGATGGCCCAGCAGCGCTGATGAGCCCCAGGCTCCACCCCTGGACGGAGCCTGACCCCGCCCACCCGACTCTTCCTGCGCACAGGTGCACTACCTAGGGCCGCATCTAGGGGGCGCTGGTGAGGGGGTTAGGGGACCCTCAGCCTCCTCGGGTCTAGGGGGACCTCTGCACCCATGGGGGAATGGAACTTTCCTCCCCCATGTGGGAACGGGGCCCTCTTCCCCTCGGGTAAGCCAAATCTTCCTCCCAAGTCACGCCAGCACCCTCCTCTGGCACTCACAGCCCCAGCGGCGGGGCCGTGCGCCCTCAGACGCCCTAGACGGAGGGCCGGGGTCCCTGTCAGGGGAGGGCACCCCCTGTAAGCCAGGGACAAGCGGCGACCGCGGCCTCTTCCACAACTGCAGGCACACAGGCCGGCGCGGAAAGCCCCGGGCAAGCCAGCACCACTCAAAGGGGAAGAGTCCGCACCTGGACCAGCAGCGCTGATGAGCCCCAGGCTCCGCCCCTGGCCGGAGCCTGACCCCACCCACCTGACTTTGCCTGCGCACTGGTGCACTTCCTAGGGCCGCCGCTAGGGGGCGCTGTTGAGGGGGTTCGGGGACCCTCAGCCCCCTCGGGGCTAGGGGGACCTCTGCAACCATGGGGGAACGGAACTTTTCTCCCCCATGGGGGAACGGGGCTCACTTCCCCTTCGGGGAAGCCCAAATCTTCCTCCCGGGAAACGCCAGCACCCTCCTCTCGCACTCACAGCCCCAGCGGCGGGGCATGCGCCCGCAGACGCCCTAGACGGAGGGCTGGGGTCCCTGTCAGGGTAGGGCACCCCCTGTAAGCCAGGGACAAGCGGCGACCAAAGCCTCTTCCAAAACTGCAGGCAAACAGGCCGGCGCGGAAAGCCCCCGGCAAGCCAGCACCACTCAAAGGGGAAGAATCCTCACCTGGCCCGCAGCGCTGATGAGCCCCAGGCTCCGCCCCTGGCCGGAGCCTGACCCCGCCCACCCGACTCTGGCTGCGCACAGATGCACTTCCTAGGGCCGCCGCTAGGGGGCGATGGTGAGGGCGGGTTCGGGAATCCTCAGCCCCCACCGGTCTGGGGCCACCCCTGCACCCATGGGGGTACGGGATTGTCCTCCCCCATGGGGGAATGGGGCTATCTTCCCCTTGGTGGAAGCCCAAATCTTTCCCCCGGGGAACACCTGCACCCTCCTTCGCACTCACAGCCCCAGGGGCATGCCGAGCGACCTAAGGCGCCCTAGACGGAGGGGTGGGGTCACTGTCCGAGACGGCACCCCCTGTACGCCACAGACAAGCGGCGACCGCGGCCTCTTCCAAAACTGCAGGAAGACAGGGCGGCGCAGAAAGCCCAGGGCAACCCAGCCCCACTGAAAGGGTAAGAGTCCTCACCTGGCCCAGCAGCGCTGATGAGCCCCAGGCTCCGCCCTGGCCCTAGCCTGACCCCGCCCACTGGACTCTGCATGCGCGAAGGGGCACTTCTCAGGGCTGCCGCTAGGGGGCGCTGGTGAGGGAGTTCGGGAACCTCAGCCTTCATGGGGTTTGGGGGACCTGTACCCCCATGGGGAAACGGGGCACCCTTCCCCCATGGGGGAACGGGGCACTCTTCCCCCTTGGGGGAACGCTGAGTCTTTCCCCCGGGGCACACCTGCAACCTCCTCTCGCACTCACACCCCTAGGGGCATGCCGTGCGCCTGAAGACGCCACGGTCACTGTCAGGGGGGCACCCCCTGGAAGCCACAGACGAGCGGTGACCGTGGCCTCTTCCAAAACTGCAGGCAGACAGGCCGGCGGGGAAATCCCCGGGCAACTGTCACCACTCAGAGGGGAAGAGTCCTTCCCTGGCCCAGCAGGGAATGAAGAGCCCGAGGCTCCGCCCCTGGCCCAGAGCCTGACCCCGCCCACTGGACGGCTCGTGCGCGAAGGTGCACTTGTCAGGGCCGCCGGTAGCGGGCGCTGGTGAGAGGGTTCGCGGACCCTCAGTCCCCACGGGTTTAGGGGGATCTCTACCCCCATGGGGAAATGGGACCCACTTCCCCCTTAGGACCGGGGCACCCTTCCCCTTGGGGAACGGTCAATCTTCCCCCGGGGGCACACCTCCACCCTCTTCTCGCACTCACACCCCCAGGGCCAGGCCGTGCTCCCTGTGACGCCCATGAGGGAGGGGCGGGGTCACTGTCGGGGGGGCACCCCCTGGAAACCACAGACGAGCGGCGACCGCGGCCTCTTCCTAAACTAGAGGCAGACAGGCCGGCGGGGAAAGGCACCGGCAGCCCAGCCCCACTCAGAAGGGAATAGTCTTCACCTGGCCCAGCAGCGCTGATGAGCCCCGGCCTCCGCCCCCGGCCGCAGTCTGGCCCCGCCCACCAGATTTTGCCTGCGCAACGGTGCACTTCTCAGGGCCGCCGAGAGGGGGCACTGGTCAGGGACTTCCCAGACCCTCATCCCCCACGGGTTGCGGGTCCCTCTACACCAACGGGGTTACGGGGTACTAAGTCCCTTACAGGGACCCGGTTCTCAAGACCGTTTTGGGAACAGGTCCCCTTCCCCCTGGTGGATACCTGCACCCTCCTCTCGCACTCACACCCCCAGGGCCAGGCCGTGCCCCCAAAGACGCCCATGAGGGAGGGGCGGGGTCACTGTCAGGGTGGGCACCCCTGGAAGCCACAGACGAGCGGCGACCGCGGCCTCTTCCAAAACTAGAGGCAGACAGGCCGGCGTGGAAAACCCCGGGCAACCCAGCACCACTCAGAGGGGAAGAGTCCTCACCTGGCCCAGCAGCGCTAATGAGTCCCAGGCTCCGCCCCCGGCCGGAGGCTGACCCCGCCCACTGGATTATGCATGCGCAGAGGTGCACTGCTCAGGGCCGCCGCTAGGGGGCGCTGGTGAGGGAGTTCGGAAACCTCAGTCCCCATGGGGTTTGGGGAACCTCTACCCCCATGGGGAAACGGGACCCACTTACCCCATGGGGGTACGGGGCACTCTTCCCCATTAGGGGAATGGTCAATCTTCCCCCCGGGTCACACCTGCACCCTCCTCTCGCACAGACAATCCCAGGGGCAGGCCGTGCGCCTGAAGACGTCCTTGACGGAGGGGCAGGGTCCCTGTCAGGGAGGGCACCCCCTGTAAGCCACAGACGAATGGCGACCGCGGCTTCCTCCAAAACTGCAGAGACACAGGACAGCGGGGAAAGGCCCCGGCAAGCAAGCCCCACACAGAGGGGAAGAGTCCTCACCTGGCCCAGCAGCGCTGATGAGCCCCAGACTCCGCCCCCGGCTGGAGCTTGACCCCGCCCCCAGACTCTGCCTGCGCAAAGGGGCTCTTCTCAGGGTCTACGCTTGAGGGTGCAGGTGAGGGGTTTTGGGGACCCTAGGCCCCCACGGGGTTAGGGGGCCCCCTACCCTGATTGGGAAACAGGTCCGCTTCAACCATGGGCAAACTGGGCCCCCTTCCCCCTTGGGGGATTGGTAAATCTTTCCCCCGTGGAACACCTGCACCATCCTCTCGCACTCACAGCCCCAGGGGCACGCCAAGCGACCAAAGGCGCCCTAAACGGAGGGGCGGGGTCACTGTCCGAGACGGCACCCCTTGTACGCCATAGACAAGCGGCTACCGCGGCCTCCTCCAAAACTGCAGGCAGACAGGGCGGCGCAGAAAGCCCAGGGCAACCCAACCCCACTGAAAGGGTAAGAGTCCTCACCTGGCCCAGCAGCGCTGATGAGCCCCAGGCTCCGCCCTGGCCCTAGCCTGACCCCGCCCACTGGACTCTGCATTCGCAAACGTGCACTGCTCAGGGCCGTCGCTAGGGGGCGCTGGTGAGGGAGTCTGGATCCTCAGTCCCCATGGGGGTTGGGGGACCTCTACCCCATGGGGAAACGGGGCACCCTTCCCGCATGGGGGAACGGGGCACTCTTCCCCCTTGGGGGAACGGTGAGTCTTTCCCCCGGGGCACACCTGCAACCTCCTCTCGCACTCACACCCCTAGGGGCAAGCCGTGTGCCCGAAGACACCCTAGACGGAGGGGCGGGGTCACTGTCAGGGGGTGCACCCCCTGAAATCCACAGACGAGCGGTGACCGTGGCCTCTTCCAAAACTGCAGGCAGACAGGCCGGCGCAGAAATCCCCGGCAACCCAGCACCACTCAGAGGGGAAGAGTCCTCCCCTGGCCCAGCAGCGAATGAAGAGCCCGAGGCTCCGCCCCTGGCCCAGAGCCTGACCCCGCCCACTGGACGGCGCGTGCGCAAAGGTGCTCTTCTCAGGGCCGCCGATAGGGGGCGCTGGTGAGAGGGTTCGGGACCCTCAGCCCCCACGGGTTTAGGGGGCTCTTTACCCCCATGGGGAAACGGGACCCACCTCCCCCGTGGGGGAACGGGGCACTCTTCCCACTTGGGGGAACGGTCAATCTTCCCCCCAGGGCACACCTGCACCCTCCTCTCGCACTCGCACCCCCAGGGACTGGCCGTGCGTCCCAAGATGCCCCAGACGGAGCGGCGGGGTCACGGTCAGGGAGGGCATCCCCTGTAAGCCACAGACGAGCGGCGACCGCGGCCTCTTCCGAAACTGCAGGCAGCTAGGCAGGCGGGGAAAGGTCCTGGCAACCCAGCCCCACACAGAGGGGAAGAGTCTTCACCTGGCTCAGCAGCGCTGATGAGCCCCAGGCTCCGCCCCTGGCCGGAGTCTGACCCCGCCCACTGGTCTCTGCCTGCACAACGGTGCACTTCTCACGGCCGCCCTGAGGGGGCGCTGGTCAGAGACTTCGCGGACCCTCATCCCCAACGGGGCTGTGGGTCCCTCTACACCAACGGGGTTACGGGTCCTAAGTCCCCTACAGGGACTCGCTTCTCGAGCCCGTTTTGGGAACGGGTCCCCTTCCCCCTGGTGGATAGCTGCACCCTCCTCTCGCAATCACACCCCCAGGACCAGGCCGTGCTCCCAAAGACACCTATGAGGGATGGGCGGGGTCACTGTCGGGGGGGTCAACCCCTGGAAGCCACAGACGGGCGGCGACCGCGGCCTCTTCCAAAATTGCAGGCAGACAGGCCGGCGCGGAAAGCCCCGGCAACCCAGCACCACTCAGTGGGGAAGAGTCCTCACCTGGCCCAGCAGCGCTGATGAGTCCCAGGCTCCGCCCCCGGTCGGAGCCTGATCCCGCCCAACAGACTGTGCTTACGCAAAGGTGCACTTCTAGGGGCCGCCGGGAGGGGGCGCTGGTGAGCGCGTTCGCGGACCCTCAGCCCACACGGGGTTTGGGGGACCTCTACCCCCATGGGGAAACGGGACCCACTTCCCCCATGGGGGTACAGGGCTCTCTTCCCCCTTGGGAAACGGTCAATCTTCCCACCGGGACACACCTGCACCCTCCTATAGCACTGACAACCCCAGGGGCAGGCCGTGCGCCTGAAGACGTCCTTGATGGAGGGGCGGGGTCACTGTCAGGGAGGGCACCCCCTGTAAGCCACAGACGAGCGGCGACCGCGTCTTCTTCCACAATTGCAGAGAGACAGGCCGGCGGGGAAAGGCAAGGGCAACCCAGCCCCATTCAGAGGGGAAGAGTCTTCACCTGGCCCAGCAGCGCTGATGAGCCCCGGCTCCGCCCCCCGCTGGAGCCTGACCCTGCTCACTGGACTCTGCCTGCGCAACGGTGCACTTCTCAGGGCCGCCTTGAGGGGGCGCTGGTCAGGGACTTCGCGGACCCTCATCCCCCACGGGGCTTGGGGGCCCTCTACACCAACCGGGTTACGGGGTCCTAAGACCCCTACAGGGACCAGGTTCTCAAGCCCGTTTTGGGAACGGGTCCCCTTCCCCCTGGTGGATACCTGCACCCTCCTCTTGCAATCACACCCCTAGGGCCAGGCCGTGCCCCCAAAAACGCCCATGACGGAGCGGCGGGGTCACTGTCACGGGGGGCACCCCCTGGAAGCCACAGACAAGCGGCGACCTCGGCCTCTTCCAAAATTGCAGGCAGACAGGCCGGCGCGGAAAGCCCCGGGCAACCCAGCCCCACTCAGAGGGGAAGAGTCCTCACCTGGCCCAGCAGTGCTGCTGAGCCTCTGGCTATGCCCCAGGCTGGAGCTTGACCCCGCCCCCGGACTCTGCCTGCGCAAAGGTGCGCTTCCCAGGGTTTCAGCTTGGGGGCGCAGGTGAGGGGTTTCGGTGACCGTCAGACCCCACTGGGTTAGGGGCCCCCCTACCCCAATTGGGAAACTGGATCCCCTTCAACCATGGGGAAACTGGGCCCCCTTCCCTCTTGGGGGATTGGTAAAGCTTTCCCCCGGAGAACACCTGCACCCTCCTCTTGCACTCACACCCCCAGGGGCACGCAATGCGACCGAAGGCGCTCTAGACGGAGGGGCGGGGTCACTGATGTTTACCCTATAAGGGAACCATTTTGGAAAGAATGTCCTTTCAAAATCCTGCCAAATATTGGTGAGAAAGGCTCACACTTCATTTCCTTTTGCACCTTCCTGAGGTTATACCAGGGCCACCTACTTTGTGTTTTTGACCACAAACAAATTAATTTGCTAATATTTCTCAATAGAGCCAACGTGTATTTAGGTCCTGTGTTAGTAGTGTTTTGGGGTTTGAAGGAATCCTTGAGGGTCTCATCCTTGAGGGTCTTGAGTCTAATGGGGGAGATTTATGTAGCTGCAGATAATATCTCAGATTGTCCCTCATCTACAACTGGATAACCAGTCTTATCCATTAAAAAAAATCCATAATTAAAGAGGAAAGTAATTATTTTTTATTTTAGAAAATACAGCCAGATTAAAAAATCTATAAATAAAAATATAAAAATCATTCTTTCTTAATGTAGTGATAATCACTGTTCTCTCAGGTTTTTTGTTGTTGTTGTTGTTCCGTCTGCAGATCCATTTTGTTCAGAAAAGAAAATATAAGCAATTATCCTCAGTATGGTATCTCTTCCGTTTCAGTTTTAAGTGCCTTGTTGGTTGACATGTGTTTCCTACAACTTGTATAGTATCACCTACACTCTGTTTGGGGAAAAAAAAATCTATCACATTTGACCTTTCTTGCCTATTGATTTTTTTCTTGTAGGGTCACTTTTAGCCAGTAAGGTCTGTCATTGAAACCCTCCCCTCTGTTAGATGTTCCACCATGATATCGGGTAAATCGTGTCTCAATTTTGTGGTCTTCAGCTGTTGTGTAGAGGACTCTCTTTTCCTTCTTGAGGACCAGTGTACTCTCTCAGTTTCACACATACAGAACTTTAGTTCCTTTCAGCCAACCTCAGAAACCTTGTACTTCAATTAAGGTGAACTCACCTGACTATCAGAGTATAGAAGACATGTTTTCTCACAAAAGCTTGCTTATTTATTTATTTATTTTAAAGATTTATTTATTTATGCATACAAGAGCTGGGGTACAGGCCAGCGATGCAGGGGGTGAGAGGATTCACCAGAGACAGAGTGGGGAGCAGAACAGGCAGACTGACTGAAATACACTGCTGAGGGGAGCAGCGGGCAAGTCAGGAGAGGCCTGCTGTGCCCTGTGGGTTTCTCCCTGGCCGGCCGGGGAGCGAACTCGTGCTGCAGAGGCTGTGGACCACTTCATAGTGCTGTGCTTAACCCCTTGTGCCACCAGGAAGGCCCCAAAGGCTTATTTAGAAGTGACTTTATTCTGAAACTTGATGTAAAGATAGGCCAAAGAGTACTGAATGAGACTAGGAGAAGAATCATTTCTCTCACAGCTGGCTTGATAACCTTCAGCTGTAGATGGAAGCCTGAGTCTGACCTTGACCAAAAATGGCTTATTGATTTTTGTGGTGGAAGTAAAATGGCATCAATATTTCATGTGTCTTGTGAAAATAAATTCATGGGACTTTAAAGAAGCAAATGTCAGTGTTTTGCTTCTTTTGTATTTGCAGTGAAAAACATCATAAAAGTTCAAAAGCTGTCAAACATGTGCTGCTTCTATAACACCTGTGCTAGGAAAAAGGTCTTCATCTAAAATGATCTGAACTTTTGTGTAATTTCTCCCCTCTCAATAAATAAATGAATTACTCAACAGTGTGAGTATGAGGTTGACTTGAGATGTACAAATGAATAATCTTCCTTCATAAATTTCATGCTCCATTGATACCTCATAGCAGAATAAAGTCTGAGGAACATCTTCAAAATTTCAGATTGATAACATGATGATAGTAATCATTAACACTTACTTGGCACTAACTACCAGGCATTGTGCCAAATACTTTATATGCTCTCTCTCTTTTACTAATTCTAACTTCCCTTTGAGGTAGATCCTAGTATCCCCATTTTATGGATGGGGTCACACGGAGGTTAAGTAAACTACTTATAGTCCTAAAAATAGGAAGTGGTTGGTTTGGCCTGGGACTGAAACACAAGCCTCAACTGGAGTCTACACATATTGGGAAGAGAAACCTGTGAGAATTCTGTTGGGTTAGGTGAGTTTTTGTTCTACAGTCACCTTTATTAACTTATGCAGCTCTGTGTTGGCATTTGCTTTGTGGAACCCCCTTCTTTCAGTTGTTCTGTGCTGGACCATTAGACTCCTTGAGAGTAGAATAATTTATTTCTTTGTGATTGTACAGGACCTAAACTTTTTATGCAAGACAGTTAGATAAAAGGTCCTGATACATAATAAAGTCTTTGGAAGAAGATGGGGGAGAATAGCTGGCACATCTTTGTAGCTTCCCTATAAAATAGCAAAGGCTAGAGGCAGTGTTCATCAGCACTGCTTCTGGAAATAATAGAGCTCTCTCTCTTGTGTTTTCAACATTTCCATAGCTTGACTTCAGAATTGCTAATGCGGTGAGCTTTTCTGACATACCTGTGTAGGGAGGACTAAGCTTTTATTCTATCTTCTTAGGTTCTGTTTCTGAGTTCTGTAAGTGAAACTGACAGATTAACAGGAGAAAAAAAGGCTACAGATTTATTTATGTATTTATTTTTGGAGAACAGAAAAGGTGGATAGCAGCAGGCAAGATAGGAGAGGTCTGCTGTGCAAAATACAGATATAAGTGATGTTTTTAATATTTTTATGCAGAAGGCCTATACAAAGAAAGAAGTGAAAACTTGAAGAAGTGATTAGAGTTGGAAGTTTAATACCATTTTAATGAAGGGAAAAGTTACTGGACAACAAAAGAAGAGTTTTAGGGACCATAAATTATGTGGGTAAGTATATGGAGAAGCAAGTGGAATATAAGGGTTATTTTATTCAATGTGTTTATGCAGACTCATCTAGATGCCATCTTTGGCGACAAAGGTTGTTCCCCTCTTTCATGTATGGGAGCAAGAATCATCTTAACAAGGGGAATTTATGTCCTACCTTTCGGTACATATGGAGAGGGTAGAGGAGTTCTTCCTATGTCTGTTTTTTCTTAATTTCCTTTAGCTCAGAATAACTCTGATGCCAGGGTGGAATGTTTGGGTATCATATCATCATCCCCTTCCCCTCATACCTCATACCCAAGGAAGAGGAGAGAGAAAAGCAAATTTCAGTGGGTTGCTGTGCTCTGTCAAGATTCTCTATGAATTTATCAATCATCCCTCAATGAGGTAGGGAGAAAGGATTCTCTATTAGACAAATTAAAGGAGTGGGGGTGGGGTGGGAATTACAGATACCAGCATAGAGAGAACTTCTTGGTCCTTCTGAACAATTGCATTATATTCCATTGTCTTTAACCAGACTCAAATTAATGTGCATCTGAATTGTTTCCACTCTTTTGTTAGAATGAATAGTGTTAGAACGTCCGTGTAGCTTACCTAAGTTAACTAGAGAAAGTACTGGCAGTAAGATGGTTATGTCTGAGGATATGTGCATTATCATTTCTAAAATGCTCTCCTTTGTACCAATGTACCTTCATGCCCAAAATGTGGTAATATGCCTTAAACAGAAAAACTGCAATGCTTGTGGCAGGAGATGGTAATGTTACAGAAGAGGGGAAACTTCAGCAACTCTTAAAAGCTGAGAAGGAATTTGCAAGGTAGACAAGGAGGAAAGTTGTCTGACAGGAGAAATTACATAATGCTGTGTCCTGTCCATGTATGATTCACCTAGTAGGTGCTGAGCTTATTTCAGAGAAGCCAGGGAAACTTGGTGCACATGCAAGGAACTGTGATCTGGAGAAATTTGTTCCAAATTAAAGAGAGAGCCAATAAAATGTCCGTATGTCAGGCCTCTACATATCTGCATATCTGTTTGTCTGAATGTTAACCAGAGCTGTGGGTGTTTAGTTTGCAGCCATGGGTAAACAAGGATCACTTGAGCCTGTGACTGGTGGGACTTTTGTAGCTATCTCTTTCCTATTCATTCTTGTAAGCATTTTCTCACTTTATTGTTAGGTTCTTGTCAGCATTTTCTCACTTTGAATTTTTGAAAGTTGTGAGGCAAATTCCTTCACTTACTCTTGGGTAGGAGTTGGGGGAGAGTTTTATATTTGTGCTTTTTGATTGGCATGGGATTTTTACATTCTTCAGCGTTTTCCAGGTTTGACAAACTACTTTTTTTATATTCTTGGGACCAGAAAACAAACTCAAGATAGGTCTTTTATGCCTATTTTTCCTGTTTCCAAGAAAGGTAGTTTGAATTCAAATTTAAAAAGAGCTGTAAACAGCTGAAGTTATTTCCTGCTAAAGGGACAGCCTCAGATCCCTTATGAGTATCTGAAGTCCTAGTGAGTCCTCTGGGTATCCCTCCATGCCAAGGACTTTGCTTGGTTCTGAGAATCTCATGGGTTTTATTTCAGGATTCCCTCAAGGAGGGGCATCTTGAACCTTTTCACTTACAAGAGCCAAAGAAATGACTTCTGCCTGGAGAATATTCTGGAGTGACTGTGTCTTTCAGAAATCTTCTGGTCAAATCTATAATTTGGGGGACAACATCTCCAATTTCTAGCTCTCTGATCATGGATGAGTGTGGCTAGGCTGAGAGAAGCCCCTCCAAGCCTTTTGACATGGTTGGAAAGTATCTTAGATTGCAAGAGATTTACAAGATTCCACAGTCACATTTCCTTGCTTGAAAACCATATTCATGACTGTTCTAATATGTTGTCTGCCCAGCTTTTTAGGTTTCCTGGCTCCTTTGGGGCTTATTGTTTGGAAGAGTCAGTGCAAGTTTGTCAATAGTAGCCCTGAGTCTACCTAAACTATTTCGTGGCCAGAAACTGACAGTGAAACATTTCAACAGAAACCAAGCCCTCCAAAGTGAACTTTCTAAATGGTGTGCTGAATCTGAGAATTTCAACCTTATTTTTCTGTTGGGTAAAAATCATTCTCTTTTATTGCCCTGTACTCACTTTTATTTTATTTTTTTAAAGATTTAATTATTTATGCATACAAGAACTGGAGTATAAGCCAGAGGTGGGAGAGGGGCGTGAGAGGATTCACCAAACCCCGTGTGGGCTGAGGGTCCGCGAACGCGCTCACCAGCGCCCCCTACCGGCGGCCCCTAGAAGTGCACCTTTGCGTAAGCACAGTCTGTTGGGCGGGATCAGGCTCCGACCGGGGGCGGAGCCTGGGACTCATCAGCGCTGCTGGGCCAGGTGAGGACTCTTCCCCACTGAGTGGTGCTGGGTTGCCGGGGCTTTCCGCGCCGGCCTGTCTGCCTGCAATTTTGGAAGAGGCCGCGGTCGCCGCCCGTCTGTGGCTTCCAGGGGTTGCCCCCCCTGACAGTGACCCCGCCCATCCCTCATAGGCTTCCTGGAATCAAAGTTCAAACCTTGCTGTGTAAAATTGCTCAGCGTTCAATCCAGGAAGGAGGGTTGTCAGCACTTCTTTAAAATAGGGACGGTAATAATTTTTCCTTTAAGAGACTGGTTCTCAGGCCTCCGGTTGCTCTGTCAGTTACTTAGGTCTCACACAAGAAACCAAAGCCTTTTTTAAAAAAGAAAATAATGTATATATACAGGGATTCTGACATAATGACATTTTTAGGAAAATATAATTATATTAATGGGAATAAGTTTTATTGCTATAACTTTAGAATGCACAAAAAAATGTATTTGTACTTGTTATTATGATGCTCTTGAGTGTTAGCTTTCCACTAAGTATCTTTGAAGCCAAAGATAAAGATCTGCAATTTGTCAGGACAGTTGACAGAGAAGGTGAGTTACTTCTGCAGCTGGACAGTCAGTATCAATGAGAGCAAATTCCTAATCATTATTAGGGAAGCCTGCAATTTAGATGACCAATGGGTCTTGGTGGAAAGCAACTGCCCTAGAAAGTAACATTCTCCGTCTTCTATCCCTGTGGGCAGCGAAGTTATTTTCACTGTCTACTCATCTGCTTACTAAATTAGCATATGGTTTTGTACACACAAGGATTGGGAGGGAATCAGGGGTGTTCCTAGAAATGTGTAAGGGCAAATTCTAATCTCTCAATCATCTGTGACTGAGACCTGTGACTCTGTTACAGGGCAGGGAGAGGGGCACTCCGGACCCCGCAAATCTGCCTGTTCTAAATGGGTTCTGCCATCTGCCGCATCAACACAAAACATATGAGACTTTAATGGGAAGGAACTTTAATACAATTAGGAAACAATACAGAAAAGACAAGGAATATAGTTTCTTTTTTTTTTTAAAGATTTATTTATTTATTTATACAAGCACTGGGTACAGTCAGAAGCGTGAGAGGGTGAGAGAATTCACCAGAGCCAGAGCGGGAAGCGGAACAGGCAGACTGACGAAATACACTGCTGAGGGGAGCAACGGGTGGCAGGAGAGGTCTGCGCGCTTCGTGGGACCCTCGCCGGCGGCCGGGGATCGAACCGGTGCTGCAGAGGCTGCGCGCAGCCTGGCAACCCAGCGCTCAACCACTGCGCCACTAGGGGAGGCCCCGGAATATAGTTTCTAAATCAAGCACCCAAAGTTACCCGTCCTCTCATGGGTAAAAGTCCACCCAAATGGGATTGGCCCAGAGCAAGGCCCCAAAGCCTGCCACAAGTCTAAAGCATCTTCCAGTGGGGACCCACAGAAAAGGATCAGAAACAACCAGACAAGTCTGGAGGGAAAAGAGCAAAATCAACATCAAGACAAAAACCGTCACTGTCACCTCCCCACAGGTCTCTCACCCACATCTGTGTCAACCAGTCCATGACCAAAAGGCAAGAGTAGTTTCTTCACATGTCTCTCTGCTCCATGTGCCTCCTCCAAGTCTCCTTCTGGCTCAGCTCTCCATCCTGCTTCTTTCCTTCCTCAGTCTTCTCTGTAGCTTCTTCTCTCTGCTCAACTCAGAGTCTCTCTGGAACCTCCCCCTTTCCTGGGGACCACCCTATTACAACTCCAGGCTAAGAAAAAGTTAAGATGATCTTTTCCTAGAAGCCTATTAATGAAAAAGTTAAAAAAAAAGTTTATGAGCAACTTACAGCTTTAGGAATGGGTATGAAAGGTGCCTTGGGCCTTGTAGTGACTGATGTTAGTCACTGAAGGTGTGCGACCCCGAGAATTGTCACAGCCCCCTCCCCACATACTTCCACCCCCTGCACCCTTCCCCCTTGAGTTTTTTGTAAGACTGGTCCTGTAATTACCCTATTTCAATTATAGATTTTGTAGACCACTGCTTTTCCTTTAGTTTTGGCCTTGTCATTCTCTAGGAGAAATCCTCAGGGATTCCAAACTCTTGGGCCCCTCTTCCTCCTTCCAAAGATCAATTCTAGGATGGAGCTGGAAGGAATTAGGCTTAGTGAAACAAATCAGAAGGAAAAAGAAAAATATCAGATTTTTCTTTCTGAAGTTTCACTTATAGGAGGAACATAGGGGAACTCAATAAGGGATCAGGGAAAAAAATACAAAACTAGCAGGCAACTATAAACTGGAGTCATTCAGCAGAGGAGGGAGAAGGAGAGGGATCAAAACAGGGGCAGGAAAAGCACAAGAGACTGTGGTGATGATGCATGGGTGACTTGATGGTAAGAATTTTATGGGGACTACATCTGAGAGGAGAAAGCAAACTACAAAAATGAACAATCATGTAAAATTTATATAGAGAAATAAATGGAAAAAAAAGCAAAAATCAAATCTAGTTGGGGAAAAAACTTAAACATTGGTTTGGGTTAAGATTTTTCCCTGGCCTTTTCTGGGATTAGTAGGATTCTTTGATATTTCTTCTAGTTGTTCTGTTCCTAAACAATCTTGACTTTCAGGGCCAAACTAGTTGGAAGGTGGGAAGGATCTCTTTGCCTGAGGCATCCCCCTGCCTGGCCTGAACTTTCATCGAGATGCCTGATCCAGGAGGCTGGTGGGTATGGTGCCCACTAGAGGTGTTCTGCCCAACTTCCCCAGGGCCACCAGGCAAGGCTGACAACTTTCATGATTAAAAACATGACTTTTAGGAACATTTCAGACCATTTAAAGGAGCACTGCGCTGTGATTTGAGAGAGGAGGCAGTTAGGGCAACCATTTTCCACTTTCAAGGTTAACGTCTTAGTGAATAAATGATTTTGGAAAAAATGAATGGTTTAGACATCTTGTTGCTTTCCTGTAGCTGGTGCCTCTGAATCCACAGAATTTGGTTCTGTCGTAACTGATGTCAGTGTCAGGACTGTCGGGTTTATTGAGCAGGGGTCCTCAGGGTACCTTCTGAGAAAATTTCACCGGAGCTCCCTTTTCAGCAGCACGTGAGCTTCCCCACAAGGCAGAGATGATTAGTTATCTCCAAAAGGGCAGGTTTATTCTATAAAAAAGGAAAAGCAAAAAGACTGCTTGCAGTCACAAGAGGGCAGAAAGAGCTGCCTTTGAAAGGGACAGGTTTGCTAAAAGAAATGCTTGTATAGACACAGGTGGGCAGGAGAGCTGTCTCTTGCCAATGCAGAAATTGTACTGATAAAGTCTTCTTTTTGGGAGGGATTTGTTCCTTTGTGGAATTGTTATGCATTGTTAAATTAATTACTTCTAAGGTTTGACTAGGTTGTTTTGTAAGGACCAGTAATTCTCTACAATGACCCTCAATCTCCTTATCCCTACCTCTCTAGTCTGCGCCTCCAGATACTTTTTTAAAAGGATTTATTTATGCATGCATGCAAGAAATGGGTGCGGGGCGGGTGAGAGGATTCACCAGAGAGAGTAGGGAGCAGAACAGGCAGATCCCCTCTACACTGCTGAGGGAGGCAGTGGGTGTGGCACCATGTGGGTTGCTCCCTGCCCGCTAGGGATCTAACAACTGGTGCTGCAGTGGCTGGTGACAGCTTGACAGCACTGTCTTTAACCTCTGTGCCACCAAGGAGGTCCCCCTCCGGATACTTTCCATAGCAGCCTGACACTTGCTATAGCAGTTTGGCAGCTAAGGATTTTTCATTTCTATAGCTGGTTTAACAACTATGCTAATCATTTCTACCCCTACCTTCCAGTTTCTGATCTTGTGATGCCAACATCCTAAATTTTCTACTCTTAGCCTCCATCAGTAACTTTGTACTTCCCCAGAGTCTCTCTGTTAGCAGGCAGAAAAAAATGAGAGGCACCCCAGGGGCCCAAACCTGCATGCTGTAAATGGGTCCTGCCTTCTGCTGCAAAAAGACAAAAATATTTTTAGTAGTTACAACCTTCAACAGAAAAGAACTTTAATATAATTAGTATGCAATAGGAGAGAAAAATTACATTTAAAATAGTTTCCCCGTGGAACACCCAAAGTTACCCATCCCCTTGTGGGTAAGTGCCCAGGCAAACAGGGTTGCCCCAAGCAGGACCACTGGGGCATGAAAGCTGCCATAAGTCTAAGGCACATTCTGGTGGGGACCCATAGGAAAGGGGCCGAAGGGGCCAGGCAAGTCTAGAAGGTAAAGAACAAAATCAAAATACAATTCAAGATAAAGGCTGCCACTGTCAGTCTCCTCATGGGACTCTTACCCACATCTCTATCTCTTTCATGTGTCTCTTTCCATGTCACCCAAGTCCCTGGTTCAGGCCCAAGGCAGAGATGCAATTGCTGCTGCTTCTTCACACGTCTCTGTGCTCCATGTGCCTCCTCTATGTCTTCTGCCTCCAGCCTTCTCTCCCAAGTCCTTTTTAGCTTCCCCTTGTTGCTCTGCAGCACCCTTCTTTAGGTGGGGCAGGGACCCTGGAACCTCCCCTTTCTATGGGAATTACACTGTTATATGTCTTTTTTGTGGGCCTGAGAAAATTTGAATCCTTTTTTGTGAACTGAGGAGTCCAGTTTTCAAAGTTATCTTTTATTCTTGGTTCTCTATATTTTCCTTTTGTGTTCATTAATATTTCTTATACATCCAGAGCTAGTATTGTTACACAGAGTTCCAGTATTAACTAGAAATGCACCTCAGCTACAGCTTTGGCCCCCATGCGTCCTTAGGGTAAGGTTTCAGTGAGCTCCTCGCTTAAGCCCAGTTCTTTGTCTCTGGAGATTCTCTTCTTTCCTAGACACGGTGTATTTCCTTGCCCCACGTCAGGTTTTAAATGGGTTCTGCTATAAATAAAGGAGATATCTTTATCATATTGCCTTGCTAGTTTATGTCTTTTTAGAGGATTCTAAAACATATATTCTGAGAAATATTTTAATCCAAAAATATCCCATTTAATCTCTAAAGACTGGTTTATATAATAAATATAGATATAAATGTATATTAAACACACACACATAAAATTTTCTGGTCTGGTGTTTTTTCAAATTGAATAGTGACACGGTAGTAAGTCAGTAGTTAGTTGTGACCAGCATATTAAACAGATAGAAAGAGATAGAACAGAGCAATAATAGAAAATTTAGGTGAATAACTTTTTGTGAAATCATTTTTAGTTGTATGTGTGTGTGGTGTGTGTGTGTCCTGAGACCTGATGTGAAATATATTCCTTAATGTGGTTCTCAAAACTTGAGCAATCTGTTGCTCATCTGTGCTAATCCACTCAACCATCTGTGCCCATCCACTACCTAATGTCTCTCTCTTTCTCCAGCCAGCCTCCAGGCAGTCCTACTTGACATTCTCAGATCACACTTCCTGGCCTCTGGCTGCTGTCTATATACTGCTCTATATTCTGGGGGTGTCTTTCCCTGCTCCTCCTTGCAAGGGTAACTCCTGTTTTTTTTTTTTCCAAAATGCTACCCCTTGTATAGCCCACACTGACCTAAGAGCCTCTCCACTGTTTGTAGTATGTACACCATGTTATCACTTTTGTGGGTGTACTTGGCTTTACATATGCTCATTTTTACCCCAATTTTACTTATTTATTTTTTTTGTGTCATCAGGTCCGGGAAACAGAGAACAAAAGAAGCCTCATTAAAATACTCCACTGGGCCTCCCTGGTGGCACAGGAGTTAAAGACTCAGCACTATCAAGCTATCACCAGCCACTGCAGCAAGAGTTCAATCCATAGCCAGGGAGCTGACCCACATGGCATAGCAGACCTCTCCTGTCTCGCCCACTGCCCACTGTCTCTGGTGAATCCTCCCACCCCCCAGCACCTCTGGCCTACACCCCAGCTCTTATATGCATAAATAAATAAAATAAATCTTTACAAAAAATATTTGGCTGGTAAGATACAAAAACTTAAAATTGTCCTTCAATGGGGCATTAAATGGAACATATTTTCCTGGTTATGTATGGAATTCCTATTTATAGTGAATTCAGAATTAAAGAAGAAAGTAAACATCATTCATAGTGCTAATGCCCAGAAATAGCGCTGTTAATATTTTGATGTTGTTTCATTTCAGTTTTTCTTCTGTGCATGCCTTTGTTTTACATAGCTGATTGTATATATAATTTTATTATTGGCCTATTTTTATATAACAGTAAAGCATAAAATAACTAATTTTTAAAAGTCATGCTAAGCCTTTTATTATTATCATTATGGTAACCTGTATCCCAATATATGTTCATATTTACATATTCATGCATTTCTGTTTTGGCTGTAATTCATATTCATTGCTGTTATGGTCTGAATGCTACTATCCACCCAAATCCATATATTGAAGCCCCAACCCGCAGTGTGATGGTATTTGTAGATGGGATCTTGGGAAAGTAGTTAGTTAGGGTTAGGTGAGATCCTGAAGCCCGTCTTTATGAAGGGATTAGTGACCTAAGAGAAGGAAAGTCCATGAGGGCTCACAATGAGAAGGCAGCCACCTGC